AGGGGGGGCAGGCCAGCTTCTCCTTCCTGCCACTCTGCTGGCCTGCCCCTTCAACCTGATTGGGGCAGTTCTGGCTAGCTGGGTTGGGGGGCACAATTCTGCCTGGCAGCACTGCACCTATGCAGGATGCTGACTGGCAGAATTCAGAAGAACTGGGTTGCATAAGTGCTGGGTTGGGAGCAGGGTTATTTTGCCAGTCAGTGCCCTGCTTGTGTGCAGGACTGACAGGCAGAGTTGTCTTCCCCGTAACCTGCTAGTGGAGCACTTTGCTAGATGGAGTGGGAGGTAGGGTGAGAAGGGCCTAGCCAGCTGCTTCCTCTCCAGAGGAGCTTGAAAAGGGAGGTGTGGAATGACCAGAGTTTCTTTGCTGATCTGGCCAAGGAGCTCTTACATTTTTTGACCTGATAGTGACTTAGCCTATTCTTTGGGTTCAAATTATGCACTAAGCCACATAAACTCTAGAACAAGCCATGGCTACTTTTGATGGTTTACAAGCCACTCCAGGGAAATAAGTTCACATGACACATTAACTCCTCCCCCCCCCACCCGCTCCATTGTTTAGTGTGTCATACAAACCAAGTCTTTGGGTGTGGTGGAGTCATATTCATCTCTTGCGGGGCTTTAGAGAAAACAAGGAAGTGTACTAATCCATGTTCCTACTGTTTGGACAGTTTTTCTCCTGACTCAGAACTGGAAGGAGGCATGACCTGCCTCAGTAGCCACAGAGATGGCCCTACTACCAAAGCCAGAGCCATTAACAAAGTTGTTTTCAGGATTGTACGAGTGTGTTTCATGTTCTTTAAAAGGCAGACAATAAGAGGCTTATGAATCAAGCTTCAAAATTCAGGGCCTTAGTAGGCTATTTAATACAAAACCAGTATCCCAGTTTTTTTAAAACTACCAAGACACCTGGTCTATGCTCAGCAGCCTCAGCAGGAAGCATCATTCACAGCCACACTGCTGACTGTTGTGAAAGTGCTTCTCCATCTCCTTCCTTCTATATGTGAAAGATGCATGAGATGTGTCATGAGAGAGACAGACTTTGCAATTAACCACAAAGTTGAAACAAAGGAAACACTCTCATATATAGTTGTAGAGATCTAATGAACTAGCTCATCTTCCTTGTTAAAAAAGCTGGTCTAGTCAAACTCTGGGCCACCCAATAACTGTCATCCTCTGAGTGATTCACAAAAAATAATGAATTGGAAGTCAAAGATACAAGTAAAAGTTGCATCTTGTTATAAAGTCAGATAGGAAAGCTAAAAAATAAGGTGTGTGCAAAGTCCAGATATGCTGTTGGGTGCCCAAAGTGATTAATGCCCATTTCCATGTACTACTTCTGTCTGGTCTCACTATCTCCCTACTGTTATGATCACTCTTTCCTTTCCGTCAGAAGAGAAAAATAAGTTCTTTTTAAAACTTTATTGCAATGAAGGGAACAGAAAAAAATGGTTTCCTTCCCATTCTCCTGTTCACCTGAGCACATTTTCTGTTCACATCCCCCTTCTGAACCCAGTTCCCGGCCGCTTCTTCCCTTCTCCTTTCCCCTCATTGGCTGGGGTACCGGGGAGTTTACAATCTTTCCCGCCCGCCTACATCGCACTGCTCCAACACTGGCCCTTCTTCCCAATTCAGACCTGCCCCTGGTGAGCTACAATAGGCTCATTTTGTTCTGCCAAGCTTGTCAATTAACAATCAGAAAGTCATTGAGTCAGTATTTGGCCATCCTGCCTTTTCTCACACCTTGTGCTATCTGATCTTAGCCCCACCTCTCCTTTGGGCTAAGTAATTTTCTTTGTTACCCTTTTAAATCTTTCTACTCCCTTGTTTCAAATCATCCTTTCACACCTATCACTACTGGTCATCTTTACTTTGTAGCAAAACATGAAGAGCATGATCATCTCTTCATGTTTTGCTACATCTGTTGGTTATAATATGGGTTGTTTCATGAGGAACCCAGACTGCATGGCTTATTTGTAGGGTGGGCAGTCATGACATGAGAATTTGTTCACCATGTCAATTTTATAAATTATTATGAGATATTTAATCTGTGCAATAACCAATGTCAACAAATTGTTTATCTGCCAATCTTCAGAAATTAAATGCGTTTGATCCAGGACAAACTTGTTTTCTCTCTCTCTCTCTCTCTCTCTCTCTCTCTCTCTCTCTCTATATATATATATATATATATATATATATATATATATATATATTTAAATCTTGTCCATAAGGCATCTTAAGTGAAGGACAACTGATTTTAAAAAGAATTCAAGTACCTCCAAATTTCATACCCTACAACTCGATTGGTGGTTATGTTTTGCTTCCAAAGGTGGAAATAGTTAATTGAGTACCAAAATAATTAGATTGGTGAAATGGAAAGAGCCATGTCAAATAATGTTTGCATCAATAAAATGCTAATCAGTTATCTAGAGTTACTATGGGCCACTATTTTAGTAGCTTCCTTGTAATAACACTTGTCTATTTTGCTGGCAATTGAAAGTGTTGGAAAATTCAGAATAAATCCTGGCAGAAAAAGGTTGAAAAAGGTTGCCTTTGTTTTATGCAAAAAAGTTGCTTATATGTGGCTTTGTGTTATAAAACCAAACCTGTGCACCCCTTTTGCAGAAAGTAGGAGCATTCCAAGCCAGGTTACTAATTAGCATTGCTGTTCCTGTAAGAGACTGGAACTCACAGCCTGAGAGCAGCTAGTCTTGTGCTGATCAGTAACAGCTGATAAGGCAGCCAGAGGAGGTTTTTTTTTTTTTTTTAGCAGCATTGCAATCACCCTAATTTGCATGATCAAACTCAGAGCTAAATTCTTGCCTTCCTCCATTAAGTCAGTCTCTTGTAATCAACACTATTGTCTCCTCAGGAGCTCTACCACATTCTTTTGAGTGTGTTCCCCTTATTTCATCACCACCTGCCCTGCTGATATGTCATGTGACTTAGAACCTATAAAACGATCTGTAGATGTTCTGGAAGTTTGTAGCCGGTGTTAACCTCTACTTGGCAGCAATGTTCATAAGGTTTGTCTTTGCAGAGGGTACCTAAGGGCTTAGTCTAATAAACTGCTGAGGCTTGTAAAAAAAATCCCTCTCCCTGTGAATCTGAGCATACATTCTCCCAACTGGTATTTGGAGATTCCCTGACAACACCATTACACACTAGGAAGCCCTAAATATATATAATGATTATATTCTAGAGCATGGAGCTATGCAATATGGCTCTTAAAAATGAAAAATTTGCAATTGTTTGGTGACTGCATTGCCTGTCACCTGCCTGCAAAACCACATGTGTCCCATTCACATCATCATATTCCTTGTTATGCTGTGTTTGCCAGTGGAAAACAGGGCATAGGACTGGAGCAGTATGTCTTCAAACATAGGGCCAGTATATTGAGATAAGATTTCATGGTGCCCATTGTGCAAATATGAGTAAAGGATTTGATTAGATGAGACAGCATAGTTCTGATTACAGAGTTATGATCCTTCCATTCTCTCACAAAGAACACTCCAGGCCTCTTTTCAGCCAATTTTTAAATGAAAAAGTCAAGTAGGACTACCTTCAGGCTAGTGTCAGTGTGTTTAACACATGCACTTGGAAGGAAGTCCAGTTGAACTCATTTCTCCTTTGCTGCTGCTGCTGCTTTCACTATTTCTTCTGGAATTGTATGGACTACAGATTGACCCTGCAAATTTAAACAGCACCCAGGAGCTATCAATTATTCAACCAAACAATTAAATCAACCAAACCATTCTAGCTATTAAAATTTGCCAAATTAATTTTTCAGATTGATAAAACTAGGTAGACTAAGTTTGTTATTGTTAAGATAAAATGAGCCATAATATGGCTACGTAAAGCCTGACATGGTAAGAACACCTTTAGACTTAAGATGGACATGTTGTAAGTCTTGCTTCCTATGTACATAAAAATGATAATACTTGCCTGTTCTTCTCAGGTACACTCTTAGATATGCTAATTGTTACCTGTTCTGGAGGTTCTTTTTGTATTGTTTTATCTTAATCCCATTCAACCCTTTTGGTTTACCCTAGTGTGCCTCTAGCATACTATATACCTGATCCCTCAACCTTCACCCAAACTGTGTATCTAACTAATAGCTTATAAAAGTGTTTTGTACAGACTACATCTTGGTAGTCTCTTTGAGGGCTGCCTACATGCTCCATGTATTTCCTGTAAGTATGAATAAAGTATAAATGTTCTTTTGATTGTGCAACCCCAGCAGACATTCAAATGTTGTTGTTTTTTTTCCCACTCTTGTCATTATCATTATCCATGCAACATAAATTCTGCTTGTGCTGGAATTCTTGAGTTTAAGAAAGGTTTAAGAAATTATGTGGGGATTTCAGCTTGTCTTTTAAGTATTGAATTTTCAGCTTCAAAACTAAACTTTAGAGAATAAAGCATGTTTTCCTAAATAAAAGTTAAAGAATACCATGCTGACTTGATAGGTAATCCGAATGCTTTAGGGGCTGATAAAATTCAGACCTTGAAAGGCTGGGATGCTTGTTGCATTTAAGACTAAGAACTAAAGAACCTCTGAAATGGAATCTTTTTGAATTTCTATAAGAATGTTCACATGTATCATTTGGTAAAGAAATTTAATACATAATCATACTATAATCTACTTTAAGACAACCCATTAGTGTGACCATAGTTCTATTAGTTTAAACTGAGTACATTACTTTTACCACAGTGGAGGCTGTTGTTGTTTCCAATGTTCCATTAACTTTCCCAAAGGGAGAAGTCAGCATGGCTAATTTCCATTCCTAGGGAAAGGCATCAGCCTCTCACTTTCCTTTCAGAGAATTGTCCCTGCCTGAAAAAGGGTTTTCAGAAACAGCTTCACTGCTTTAGAAACAAAACATGTGATTTGATGCTGAGTACAAAGGGAGATGCTGAAATGTTTGTTTGGAAACCTGGAACTCTGTGCAACTTGCTTAAAAAAAAAGACTGAAGACTGATTTAGACAGACTGGAATATCACTGTGTAAGCAACATTTACTTTTGACTTAAAAATGAAGGCCTATAGCACTATCATATAAACATCAAGAGATTCAGGATTTAAACACACAGTGTTACAGATCTGGGAAGAAAGAGATAAAACCATATGCATTGGTAACATGTCAGTTTTAACTCCCTTTCTTTCAGGCGAGAAAATGTTAGAATGTCTTTCCTCAGATTTGACTGTGGCAGCTTTTTCAGTGATTCCTTCTTCTTCAGAGTTATACTAGAGGATAGCTGGCATCTGTGGCTATTCCACAGTGGTTATCTCTGTCTTTAGCCATCAAGATATAGCCTTGGTCACCCCAATTTTCACTCCAGCTGGAAGAAAACCAACAACACCCAGCATTAACGTTTAGATATAACAATCTGAACACAAGTGCTCTCTCTCTCTCTCTCTCACGCACATGCACACACACACACAAAGATCTGAAGAAAAACAACACTCTAACATCTGAAGTTTCCTCCAGTCCTTTTTGCGCCAGGATTGCAAAGTTGAAGGAAGTACACACTGGCTTCTCTCAAGGAACTTAAGGAAACTGAGATGTTGTACCACCTGTTTCCCATCTATCAGTGAGCAATTCACTGCTGACTTTCTTCTTCCCAATCCATTCTATAATCAATCTTTCTATTATATTACAAGCCTGAGCAGGAATTGTTGTTAAAAGCTGTACAAAGCTCAGAAATACCTGTTTTTGACAATCCAATACTTGTTGTTTTCTTCTGCACCCTCAGAGCCATAACCAACAACAAGAACAGCATGATCCAATGCCTGGCTACTACATTCTGGTTCATAATAAATACCTAGAAGCAGAGAAGTTGTGTTTGGTCCAAAGTATCTAGTCTTATATCCCACATGAAAACCCATAGGAAGAGCAGGGGTTTTGGTGTGTGTGCTGCACATGCTCTCTGGCAATTTTCTATCAAGTGTGGCCCAAACTATCCAATCTTATATAATATGTGAACCCCATAGGAAGAACCGGTACATTGGTATATATGGGTCAGTGCCACACATGTTCAGTGATGAATTCTCTCCAGGGTTTGACGAAATTCTCTTCCAACCCTCCCCAACTTCTTTGATATGTGCCATAAGGTAAATACTGGCCTAATCTTGCCTCACCCAATGAGATAAGTGGGCACAAACACATTTCTTCATCACTGTGCAGTGGGAACAATCAGTTCAGTTTCCCATGACTTGCAGAGAGAAGACACTGGAGGGGAGGGTTCTCTCTTTATGTGGGCTTAATAGGAGGCAGAAGCAGCTCCAGGAGAGTGGCGATGCTTCTGCAAAAAGCTGTGTGCAAAGAGAGAAAAGATCCAGCCTGCGTCAGATGGAGCCTAATTCACCTCTTGTGGAATTTTGGGTAAGACTGGGAAGTGTCCTAGTCCATGTTGCCAGCCTGCATCTCAGAGGGCAAGTGCTGGTTTCCTTCAAATGTTTCCTTTGCAGCAGACAGACAGACTTCCACTCCTGATATGCATCAAGTCCACTTCTGATGTGCATTAAGAACTCAGGAGTGCGGGTGGTGGGACAATGACCCACAAATAACCAGCAAAGCCAGCTAAAGCTTGTGGAGCTCTGAATGGGGGCAGCACTTTGTCTAGGAATGACAAGCAGCTAATTGACTTTCATACATTGCATAGTAATCTAGTATAAGCATGCAGCAGAGGCACCACTTCAAGCATGAATATTTTCAATCCTTTACACAGGTTCCTTATATGGAAATCCAGGTGCATAGTGCCCTTTCTAGCCTTACACCCAGTGTTCTCTGGCTGTGCTAGGACTATAGCTTCCATTATCCCTAGCCATTAGTAAATCACGGGAACTGTAACCCAGTACATTTGGAGGGAACAGAATAGGAGAATGTTGTTCTATTCAATGGTGTCCCTAAGAAGGTGTTCGAGCAGTTCTTACCTGACTCATAGAACTGGAAAGAGGCGTGACCGGCATCAATGCTCACAGAGATGGGTCCAACTGTAGCTACTGCATTCATGAGAGCCCTTTCATCCCTCCATGGGATGTTCACAAAACCAGTGTCATTAGCCGAGTTGTATTCAGGGTTGTACAAGCATCCTGCTTGATCCTTAAAAGACAGACAACATTTTAGTTACGAATGTAGCTTCAAAATTCAGGAAATTAATGAGCTAGCCCATGCAAAATCAATACTCCATTTTTGGCAAAAAGGAACACCCTTTATGGCTGAACCACTGACACTTAGGAATGCATCAGCCCATCCTCTTTTTCTAGTCCCCAAAATTTTTTTTGAACTTGCAGAAAAGAAATATGGCTACAGAGCAATCACAAAGGTTTCAAGTTGTGAACAAAGAGAACACCTGCCCTCCCACCTGAAGAAGGTACTGGGCTAGTTTGTCGTCCTCTTAAAGAAAGGTTTCTGTTGGCTATTAGCCAACCCAATTTCTGTGTCAACCAATAACTGCCAGCTTCTAGGGGCTACACAAAAAGTGATAAAATTGAGTCTAATATACAGTTAGAAACAGCATAAAAGTTGCACAAGGTCCAAATAGGCTCCTGGATTCACACAGTGATTAATATCTGACTGCCACATAATACTTCCTTCAGGTCTTACCATAGCCCTCCTTGTTTTTACATTGTGTGCAATGTAAAGCCAAGGCAAAATGCAATGAAAAGACCCTGGCCATTACGTAAATTGCCATTTGACCAAAACAGTGTTGCAGTTCCCTTTATTAAGCAGGAGCAGCAGAGAGAGTGTGACCTCCTGCATTTGCCACATTCAGAAATAGTTATTTTGCTCTTAGGGCCATTTGAAAAGTTCCTAAGACATTGGCTTCCTCCAGTATACAGAATTTTGGGAAAAATAAATTTAAAATCCTGCTTTTCCACTCCAAAGTCATTTATGGATTTTAATGTCAGAATTCGTAAGAAGTGAGGATTGCTAAGCATATTTAGTAACAGCCATTCCAGTACATTTAAGAAGTTGTATTATTTTCTGACTTGTCGCTGGGATTAAAAACACCTAGGAAAATAGAAGCCTGCTTTCTCCACCATGGGAGCCATATTTGTTTGGGTTACAGTGACTGGGAATTGTGGGAACTGAAATTTACAGGGACTGGAGGCCACCAGGTTTGGAATGATTGATATAAATATATTTTATTTATTTATTTATTTATTTATTTATTTAGCAAGCTTCTATGCCGCCCCATTCGCCGAAGCCTCAGGGTGGCTCACAACAACAAGATTGTCTTATTAAAATATGTGAACCTTCCTGTTTGAGTGGTGTTTAGAACCACGAAAATTCCATGGCTTTACACAAACCTGTAGCTGTTAGTAAGACTAGAAGAAACAAATGCAGACATTGGAAATACTTGATCTTGTCTCAATCTGTACTGCTTCACTGATTTGTTATAAGAAATATGTGCATTATGCATACTGAATTTTGATGGCATAAATCCAGTCCAGTTTAGCTAAGCATGACTGCTCTTAAAGTATCTCAAACTCATTCAAATCAACAGTGAAAAAATAAATGACATTTGTTTTCCATTTCAGTTTGTTGCACTGACAACTCAATACATTAGCAGCAAAATCTCTTCAACCAATGAAAATCTGATGTGTGCATGGTTTTCTGGAATTAGCTTTCCTGGTTTTCTGGAACTTCCTTCTGCCAACCTGGTAAATCTGTCAAACAGACTAACAGGAATGGTAAGTTTGCAGAGAACAAATACAGAAGAAACAGCTAGTGAAGAAGCCACGTTACCTTTGCAACATATGGGTAGGATTCCTCTGAATCAATGCCACCATTGTCCATTACGTACTGGAAAGCCTGATCCACAAGGCCCCCATTACAGCCGTGGTTGCCTTCACGCCAGGAGCAGTCCATCAGGTTTTGTTCACTCAAAGAGACCAGCTTGCCGGTTTTGCGGAAGTGCTGTCCTTCGAGGGATCCAGTTGCACTGAAGGCCCAGCAAGAGCCACACTGTCCCTGGGTTCAAATGGGTGGAAATGAATTTGTTTGAAACCAGCCGAGTCATGATGATGTAGATTCCCACAGTACCTTTGGCTTAGTAATGGAAGCAAATGCTAGCAGCACATTGTGTTATCTCCCCCCCCCCCCCAAGATTGCCATCCTGTCTTTTGTCTCCTATGTTAGATTCAAGTGTCCAAACTGCCCTCCTGTAAGATGGTTTCTTTTGCTGACTGGTTTCCTGAATTTAGTAATTAGATCTTTTCCTGTTGCACTTTGGAGTCTCATCTTATTTGATTTATTTCAACTCTCTAGGCAGAGGCTAGAACCAGTCAGCTGCAGCAGCAGCAGACTCACAGAGAGCAATGCCAGCAAATTGGTTGGCAGCCTCAGCAGACAGAACCCTCTCCCAAGGCTCCATTTCCTGGTCCTAGTGAGAGAACAGGAGCTAGCAGCCAAGGCTGAAATAATAGAATCCCTGAAGTTAATTCTTCATTTTAGCTCTAAATTCAGAAGATGGTTTGCAAGTAAATGCACAGTCGTTTATGAAATGCAAACTCCAGACACATACTTGGTTCTTTACAGGAGTTACATATCCATTTTCCCTCCAGTCAACAGAATTGGGAGCTGTCAAGAAGTTTGGCTTAAGGAAATTTGATCCTGTGTATTTCCTTTCTGTTTTGGTGTATTTGAAGCCATTCATCACTTGCCTAAACTCTTCATTTGTCTAAAGAAAGAGGAAATAAGTCAGTGTGACATCAAAGTGATTAGGCAGACGCAGCCTCACAGCTCTGCTTATGCCTACCATGTCTCCAAACTGATTCATGCCTAGTCTGTAGCTGTGCTTGCCTAGGCTGTGTTCCAGGTTGTGCAATTCAATCATCTTCAAGTTCTTTTCCCAGGTCATTCTTCTCTGGTCTTCCCTCTAAGGTATAAGAAAAGGCAAGAAGACACATGCATTATGCATCATCATGTGTCCTCCAGCAGAAGAGAATGAACTCTGCTGAAAAATTACACCAAGTCATGGATTACAATAAATATGATTAGAACACAAATGATGACAAAAGCTTTGAACACCATGGTTTACAGCTGTTTTTGTTTTGTTATATTTGTTTTCTTACCTACAGGACAGTTAAAGAAGGAAATAGTTGCCTGTGTACCAAAGTAATCATATCAGTGAAATGGAAAGAGTCATATCAGGTGTGTTTTGCATCAACAAAACGCTAATCTGATATCTAGAACTATTGTGGGCCACTACTGCAGATCAAAATAAGGTTGTTCAATTTGCTTTATTGCGCACATTACCTATTAGGTTGCTCTAATATGTATATATAAAACATATATTTTGCCCTAAATATGTGTTTTATATATACCTATGCATGCAAACATAAACATATATCAGTACATTAGTTTAGAGAGCTAAAGAGGAAAACCCAGTAATGAAAGATTCAGAACAGTTTGTCTTCCACACAGTTTTGAAATACATTTCACTTCTGTGCCGCAGGTCACAGGTAGTGCCACTCACTCACGTCATGGTACGCCTTGCCATGCCATGTTTTCCAAAGCTGCCAGTGGTCATTCAAAGCAGGGTCTAGGCTTGGAGCAGCAAAGCACGCCTCCACACTTAAGGCCAATATGCACAGATAAAAGTTCATGATGAGATCTTTGGAAGAGTGAGAAAAAAGATTTGATCAAACAGAGATTCCCTCCTCCAATCAAAGTGGGAGAGAAATGATAGGAGCAATTCAGTCCTGCCTGGGAGGCTGTGCAAACTGCAAAGAAATGCAGTGCTTGTCAAGCTGTTGTTAAGAAACTTTGTGTCAGAGCTAGCACTCAAGGCACGGGCTAGGATTATATACCAGTAAGAGGGACTTCAGGTCTTGAATAAGGTTGTTTGTGGTTGGGGGCAGCTCCTCTTCTCCAATGATGCATGATATCAAGGGCAGCCTTTTGGTGGGGCAGAGTAACCTGGGGGACATTGAGGGGCTTGCAAGAGCTTCTTGGGATCCCAGGAAATTCACCTTTTACAGGTAAAGGACAACCTCCAACCTCACTAGGATCTGGGGGGAAATCTAGAGGCAAATCCCCCAACCATTACCTTCAAATCCATGACACAAAAGCTAGCAGTCTCTTAACTCCCAAATGGACTCCCATACTTACCTTGCTGGGAATGAAAGCAACAGTCACTCTTGGTTTTTCCTGAATGCCTCTGCCTTGTTTCTCAGCTGGAAGGGTGGCTTTAAATCTTCCCAGCCTCTCCAGCTCTTGATTTGCTGGATGGTGAAGCTGGGACTAATCATGCAACAGTTTGTGAATTCCAATCCTTTGATGTCTGCACATGACTGTGGAGGATGGAATATGGATGATATTTTGTTTACCTGACGCTGGTGGGTAGGAGATAGCTTCCATGTGGTAGTATAGCCCAGGATAAGGAAACCTTTTTTTGGCTGGGCTTCTAGGACCAAAACAAAAAGCAGCATTGGAAGGAAATCATGTGTTTCATAATAGCCCCGCTGCCAAGAGTATCACCACTGGCCATGGTGACTGCTGAGCTAATGGAATTTGCAGGCTGCCCATATGCAGAGGGCTGTATGCTATCCATCTCTGCTCCCTTCATCTGAATTCAAGCATTCAGAACCACAAGTGATCTCCTTGTATAAAGTTATGCCACAATAATATTACAGTAGCTTGTGTTTAGTTTCCTGAGCTTTGAATTGTGCAGTGCAATTCTATGCTATTCTTAATTGGAAAGTCCCATTGATAGGAACTGGACTTTCAACTACTAGTAATTATGAAGGATGTAGTCTTACATTACTTACCATATGTTAATGTTGATATCTGTAACTCCACTCATAAACAAATGAAGAAATTTACCTTCTCTCATCCCCAAATTAAAATGAACTTTATGAATGGAAAATTGCAAAAAGGAAAATGGCTGGTCCAAGGCAAAGGACATAACAGTATCATTTCCCATCTGGTGAGTGTCTTCCACTGCATGTGTGAAATGGCTTTTTAAAATGTATTTATTTCCACAGGAGCACTGACATGTATCATCTGTTTTTGTTAGCTTTATAAAATGTTTGTTAGCTAGCTAAGCAAAGGCCACTTTTATATGGACTCAGCCAGCTAAAACTGAGTCCATTGTTTGGTAGTCAGTCAAATGGAACCAAATTGGAATTTGCTTCCAAATAAGCATGCATGGAATTGGACTACATGATTATTAACTCTGTCCAACTAAGCAGGATTTACTTCCAGGTAAATATATGTATGTATGTATGTATGTATGTATGTATATATGAATGATTCAAGTAACCTCTTTCTGAGCAACTTGCATCAAGCATTTAATAGTCTGCTGACAATTTTACAAGTTTGTACCTTATCATATGTGGATGTAAAGGGAATATAACATGACATAAAATCAAGTCCAGCTCTCCTTGTTCCACAGTTACTGCAATATGTTGAAAGATGTTGGATGGCCACATGCCATTAATACAAGTCTACAGGCCTGAGACCAAATTGGATATGATGCTGGAGATTCATGAACAGAATCACCCAATTTCTAAAATGAAAGTCTGACTCGGGGCCACAGCCTACAGCTTAACCTTACAGGATCCCCATCCTCCAGGATTTAGCCTCATTTCAAATTGCAACCCTGATGAGCCTTTTTAAATTAAAAGCAAGCAAAGCCTCAGCATATGAGTTAATGATGTCCCACATGGTTTCCTCATGACATACACCCCAAAGAGGAATAGAATATAGAACAGCATATGAGGTGAGGGGAAAAATACCTTTGATTTATAGCAAACTGCTGTATAACCTTGCTCTCATCTAGTTTTGCACCAAATATTTTTAGGAAGCTGCCAAACAGCCATTTCCTTAAAAAATGCATTGGAAAATCTAAGTAGAAGACATGTACAGTTAAGGTTGCCAAATTTCCCCCCAGTTGCTGTTGTATGCCCTGCACACCAATGTTCCGTATTTCTCTATACTGTGAACAGTTACAAAGTAGTGTTAAGGTGGAAGGGAAGACAGGTTTGGGTTTTGCCCCTGATGGTTGGTACTATTCTAGTATTTAGAGGCAAAAATAAGTGTGATCCAGTTAACAAGACTCTTGATCAGATATATTTGTACTGAAATCTTGGCTAACCCACATTTGATCTATCTGACCCAATGACAAGTCACTATGTTTTAACCTCGGTTTTCCAACTGCAAAATGGCAACTCTAATGATCTTTGACAATAAGACTGCAAATAAGATTAAGAGTAAACTCTCTGGATATTAAAACAGAATATGGTTAAACAATATGGCTAAAATCAATGTCCCAGTCAGCTAAAGAGGGAGCAGGTGGACTGGCAGTGCATCATTTAAGACAAAAACCACAACAGCTCTGCCTGCCCTCTTTCCTCCATCACCAGTTTTGGCTTCCATTGTTGTAGAATGGAGCAGAATAAACTGCAGAGATCATCAGACCAGCTGCCTGCTTGTTTTCCAGGTGCTGTTGCTAGTGCTGTGGTTTGGGGTGAAAACTCTCCTTCCCCTGTCCAATTATATGAGCCTTTGAAATCTATCGTGCAACAGCCAGCTGCATGTTTCATGCACAAATTTTCATGGACAGGTGTTTGAAACCTATTACTTTATATAGTTTTTTCTACAGATAGCTGTTAGATTAGTAGAGAGGCAGGAAGCGGGAACAAATGGGTTTGTTGATTGAGGTGAAAAAAACTTTGCTATAAGCATGATTGGAAATAAACTTTCACAAGGTGTTGTCCTTCACATGATTCTTACCTCAAGTGCGAGTGCAAACAGGACACAACTCCACTAAACTAAAAAAGTGTTGGTTGGCTTTTACACACTGACTAGGTTTGCATTACATGCTAAGCCATGGTGGCTTCAGAACCATCGTAGCTTACCATGTTGTCTGAATGTGTCACCCACCAATACAGAATGGTTTCATTGTGACTACAAAGCTGCCCCAAGAAGCCATGGCCCATTGTAGGATTTGTAGCCATGCCTGGACTTGCTGCATCATCTGAACTGGGATGACAAGTCCAGGTGAAGCCTTGAAACTTAAAGCTGCTTAGCAAGCATGGCAGAAGGTCTTTCCGCTCTGGTCAAGCAGTTCCAATGCCAGCCCAAACTACTCAACTGGCACTTTGGGCAGCTGTCACTGGTCTCTGCCACTGGCACCATCTCTGCCTGCCTCTCTTGGGCTTGATGAAGCGGTGTGCAGTGGTGGTTCTCTTGCCCAATGAGTGCCACCTCCACACGCTCTGCTAAGGGCTTGACAATACAGTGCATGGTGGACATCAGCTGGTTCACTTCCCTGTTGCTCACTGCAGCTGTCATTTGAGCAATGTGGCTACCAGGCACAGTCTTCTCAATGTCCCCCAGAGGAGGTCTCGCAAAGCACCCCACCCACTGTTGCAATTGTGGCAGCAGGTGGGGGCACAAGGCATGTTCTGCTTGGTCTTTCCTAGAGGAAGCCCAGAAGAATCTACCCATATTGATTGCTGTGGTGGCTGCTGAGCAGCTGCTGTGGCAAGCAGTGGGGTGGGGGTACCTCATTCTCCTGAGTCCCCCCACCCCCCAGAAGAGGTCCAGCAGAACATGGCTCAGATTCTGGCACAGAGGAGTTGCCTGCAAGCAATGCCTGGGATCATCCCTGCAGGCTCCTCCTGACTGTTCTGGCAGCAGCTGAGAAGAGACTTCTTGTTGCCCACCACCCACTCCTTCAGCCAGCCCTTTTAGTTAAGCGCAGTGGCTGGCAGCACCCGTTGCGGGCACTCTCCTGTTTCCCTCCCCTCCCCAGTACTCTCATGGTGTCCCGAGAGGGGGGAGTGGGTGGGAGCTGTCTCTTCAGTCAGCATGCGCCCAGTCACCTGATTTAAAATTAATTTGCTCAAGGGCCCTAGAGCAAAGCAGTTGTTTAGAAATTCAGGTCTTACAAGATATCTTATCTTGGAGAAGTTGCCCTTGGAATCAGAGGCATCATTCCAGCTTGACTGTAAAGCTTCCATTTTTGCATATTGATAACCCTTCTGGTCACAAGTTTGGACAGACAAGCAAACAGGGAAACAGCAGAGTGATGTAATGAAGGGCTTGTCTGGCCTGCACAAGGGAAGTCCTGTAGACTTTACTTTAGTTGGCCAGATGCAAAAGAGAGCAGAGCTCCTGTGCTTTTGTTTTGCAGGAGAAGGTGGAACTTACAATCTTTGAGGATGTGTCCTCCCACCACAAAAGCTTGCTTATCTATTCCATTTAGACTTAATCTATTTTTAACTGATCTCATTTACAGCCCTCCTGGTGGGAAACAAATCAGCAGATTGCCCCTGTGATTCTTTCCAATTAACTAACAGTGCAATCTTATATACCTCTACCCAGAAGCACAACCATTGAGTTCGATGAGACCTATTCTCACTCAGGTGTATATAATGTCATATACATGATAAATATCATATGCTATTCTAACTGCATTCCATGAATGCTATAGAATTTTTATATATAGCAAGTATGGTTCAATATTCTTGGTCCATTTTCCAGGCTTGTCATTGGCTGAGTTCAAGTTATCATGGGTTTGATGGTGAGAACAAATCCAGCAGGCCATGTTCTCACACTCCTGCTTTGTTTCCCATCCCTCCTCCAGCTGTAACTCGGAGTTCAGAGGTTTTTATTTACTTTAAAAGCTTATTACATCATCTGAGCATCACAAAAAGTGGCTAGTGGTACTGTAAGGGTTAGGATGCAGGTCTGCGGTCCCACAGCTGAAGGACCACCAAAGGACAGCACAGCTATACTTTATCCACCAGACACACCTTCTCCTATTGAAAAACAAAGCAAAAACACCTGGCACAGGTCAGGACAGGCCCAATGTGAGGAAACCTCCAGTTGCACCCATCATCTTCATTTTCCTAGGGTGCTTCTGGGCTGATACCCAGTAGAGCACAACCGTGGACGAGTTCCAACGAAAAAGGGCAAAAGAGCCAGTTAGCGGGTGCAATCCTCTCTTAGGTAGTGATGGCCAAAGTAACTCGCTTACAAGAATGTCTTTGTGTGTGTGACCATTACTTCATGCTGGAGTGAGTCAGCCGCTCCCAGTCTCCATTCAACCAAAGTCAAATACATTCAGACCTCCAGGATAATTCCAACTAGGGTGACCATTTAAGAATCACCAAAAAAGAAAGAGGACACATAAGGCCAAATCACCCATGGTCCAGAACAGTCCTGCCTACTTTGTAACTTTTAAATGTAATTTCAAATAT